CTTGACTAAATTTAGAAAGTGGCAGAAGATACTTTTCCATTTGCATTAATTAATTTTAAAATTCTAGATGCTCTCTTTTATATTTTCCAGAGTCTGCTTATTCTCTTTCTTTGATTAGCAGTGCAACCATGCCATATTTCCGTGAACTGCCCAACTTCTGCGAACTAATATCAAGGCCTGAGATAGCGTGGGTTTTGCACTCAGAAATGTTTGCATCCAAAATGTGAAGCTGCTTTTCTCAAGGCTTGTTGAGACCTCAACCTGAGTGGGTCATACCTCTGTCTCTGGTCATCTGAGAAAGGTGACCCTGTAGCTGTGTAGCTCCAGAAAAAGAAGGGATATGTGCCACATATCCAATCTTGACTATTAATGGCAGGGTAAGTGTAAGTTGCCAGCTTCGCAGCAGGTGACTAAAGCCCCGTTATTCACTCCATTAAATCGGTTCCTGGTGTTTGTTCAGTTTAGTCCTCATTTAACTGGCCAGTCCTTCACCAGTCCTGTTATCTCATCTTAGAAATGAGGAATAGCCTTTATCAGGTTGAGTTGATAAGAACATGCTGTGGAGTAAATCGTATTTCTAAAGTACATCTTTATACCAGTTAGGGGTGTAGAGATGCATTCCTCCATCTGGACAGATTGTGCCTCAGGAAATACACCTGGAAGTTTTTGCATCAGTATTTACTAGTTGCAACAAGACCTGTGCAGTACAGTACAAAACATATCATCTGTGTTTATTGGTTGGTGTGAAAGGCGAGGGTTGCTGGTCTTTCAGAAAGAAACATCTGGAACGGAACAAGTGCTAAGAGTAAGGTCTTTCTGTGTAGGAAATTTAGAGCTACTACATATTCCCACTTGTCCCCCTGGTATCAGGGGGACTACAAAATACTGCCAATTAAAAACTACTTAAATATGGTTTCAGCATGGTGGCCACATGTCCTCGCTTGTAGATTTAAGAACTTCCATAATGCCCCTCTGATATTATGCTCTTAAAAAGGAGGAAAAAAAGTCTGTGGAGATCTTCACTTGCTTGGCAGTAATCTGATTCCAGCATGGAAACTGGCGTTCCCCACTTCTCATCCTTTCCTGTTCTTTTTGTCTGTACGCCTGCGTATCGTTGCAATCCAAATGTACCTCTGTATTTGTGATAATATTTTGCATGCATTTGATTTTCTTTAATAGATATGTGAAGCACAATAACCCAAAAGTAAAGTATTTTCTGTGTGATTATGCATGATGCAATAGATCTCTCCACATACTCATGCTTTTTTATATGAGAGTTTTCTAGTTCTCATTCATGAATTTCTGGGTTTCCAAGCTATGGCTTTGGCAGATCTTTGCATAAATAACAATTTATTCATTGCTTTCTTTTTTAATGCTAACATACTTGGCACAGATATTTTTCCTTTTTTTTTTTTTTTTTCCAGTCAACATTTCTGTTTAGTTTATGGCCTCTGAAGAACTTTTTGTAACCCACTGTTGTAGTTTTATTAGTCGCATAGTTGGCACAATTCAGCACAACCATTCAGCTTAACTTGAGAGAAGCCATACTACTGACATTTGAAAAACAGTTATAATAATGAGCAACACAGAGTTATATTCTAATTGTTAATTGGTCAAAATGAATGCGGGAAGGAATGCTTCCAGTTTAAGAATAGGTCTACAATGTTTAGTAAAAAGGAATCTATGTGTCTGGAAGTTATTAAAACAAACTGCTAACAGCATATTTAAATTTAAATCCAGCTAATGAAGCAGTAATTCTGTCCAAAATCTTCTTCCACTTATTCCATGGTATATTAGATGATATTTAACATGGGCAGTGTCTATTGTTCTGTTGCCAGTAAAAATTACATAGCAGAGTGTTTGATTCACAGAACCTCAGAATGGTAGGGATTGGAAGGGACCTCTGTGGGTCATCGAGTCCAACTCCCCTGCCAAAGCAGAGTCACCTAGAGCAGGTTACACAGTACTTCGTCCAGGCGGGTTTTGAATATCTCCAGAGAAGGAGAATTCGCAACCTCCCTGGGCAACCTGTTCCAGTGCTCCGTCACCCTCAGAGTGAAGAAGTTCTTCCTCATGTTCAGACAGAACTTCCTATGCTTCAATTTGTGCCCATTGCCCCTTGTCCTGTCGCTGGGCACCACTGAAAGGAGTCTGGTCGCACCCTCTTGGCACCCACCTGTAAGATATTTATAAGCATTTATAAGGTCCCCTCTCAGCCTTCTCTTCTTCAGGCTAAACAAGCCCAACTCCCTCAGCTTTTCCTCATAGGAGAGATGCTCCAGTCCCCTCATCATCCTCGTAGTCCTCCGCTGGACAATCTCCAGTAGTTCCTCATCTTTCTTGAACTGGGGAGCCCAGAACTGGATGCATATTCATATTGTTTGACTCAGGAAGCATTTAAATGTATGTAATGTATTGTGACTGGTAGGGCAGAATTTCTGAATTTGATGAGGTATATTCCACTAAAGAATTTTTTTTTTCTTGTAGATCAACCTAGTTTGCATTGACAGACGAGAAGTAAATCAGATTTTATGCTTTTGCACACATTTTTATAATTTCCAAAGAAATACAGAAATTTCAATTCTATTCTGTAACTATTTCAGAATAGAAATATCCATGTGGTTATTTGTTTTATTTACTTCCGTTATGTGTCTGCTTACGGTCTCGTAGAAACTCGACACTGTATTTTCTTTTCTGGATGTCAGTGGCATACTTTAGTAGAAACAAGTTGTACTGAGTTGCATTTCCAGAATTGCACAGGCCAGAAAACATGTTATTGTTTATTGCTCTCTGCTACTACCTGAAAGGAGGTTGTTTTGAGGCAGGTGTTGGTCTCTTCTCCCAACTAACTAGTGATAGGATGAGAGGCAATGGCCTCAAGTTGCATCAGGGGAGATTTAGATTGGATATTAGGAAAAATTTCTTTACTGAAAGAATGGTCACACATTGGAACAGACTGCCCAGGGAGGTGGTTGAGTCACTGTCCCTGGAGGTGTTCAAAAAACATATAGATGTGGCACTTCGGGATAGTAGGCCTGGTGGTGATGGGTGGATGGTTGGACTTTATAATCTTAGAGGTCTTTTCCAACCTATGATTCTGTGATTCTATGTTTTTATACATTTACACATCTGTAAAAATGTATCATCACTGCCCATGAGGCCCTTGGACAATACCATTTGCAAGTCAAAGATGTTTCATTGACTTCACTGGGATTAGGATTGAATCTTAATTTACTGAACAGGAAAGAGAATAATCACATATTACTTACTAGGTTTAAGTCTAAAATGCTTCTAGCTTTGAAAAGTATAAATAAAATCAACTTATTTTTGTAATGCCAGTGATACCACTGATGAAATCAAAACATTGCTTACTTTATATAACAGGCAGGTATAAAGTGCCAATGTGCTTCACAGAGAGGATATTCTCCACCTAAGATGATGTTTTGTTATTTAAGTGCAGTTTGAAGTTCTGTTATTAATGTGCAGTATAGTTTTGGACAATTACCAGAAGTGTGTTGCATTCTTTCTATGTGTTTATCAAATCTGATGTCTAAGTATATGTGCATGAGTGTAGAAATAATCAAAAGGACAAACAAAAGGCATCCAACTTCTTAAAAAAATCTGTATCTTCTTTTTAAGAAAAGCTGTTGTTCATGGTAGGACTCTGAGGAGTAACAGAAGGGATTTGGAAGTAATTAAGGCCTTTCAGTGTTAGTCTCATACTTCCCGAGGAAATGAACTTCATATTTTCTACACACAAAGGTCATAAGTACAAGAATTGTATCAAAAGGGTTTACGAGACAAAGCAGTTAAACTAGTAATTTGGTCACATGGTAGAATATATTTTGGGATATGGAGATCTATTTTAAGTATCATTCATAATTTCTTCTAAAATGTCAGTCTCTTTCTGATGCTGATGGTATTTATGACTTCTGTGAATCCTCAGAGTCATTTGGAAGTGCACTAATGAAACAAACAGATACTGTCTTCATTTTACAGAGTGATGCTGACTTGTAACAGGGGAGAGGAGATTTCTGAAGTGGCTAGTTCACATATGGCAGATTAGAATATTTCTTCCTAAGCCAGGGAAAGCAGACACTTGGCCGGATTCCACCTTCCACAATTCCACCTTCCTTTGGTTCCTCTGTAGCTTCAAGAGTGACAGGAGTAGTAATGTAGTTTAAAGGTGCCCTTTCTTCTCAGCTGTGATGAGTAGTGCTTGGTGCGCATAGTATCTAGACCATTATCTTCATGGCACAGCCAAGATTACAGCTCAAGAGTTCCTGACTCTGTGGATCATGTTCGCAACACTACACAAGCCAATTATAAACCCATTTTATCTTGTAGAAATTTTGTGGGCCAAATCTTCATTTGATACTAGTTATTATAGATACAGATCTATGGAGCATTTTACAGCAGCCGAGGATCTGACCTTTGAATGAAATTAAACCAGTGAAGCATTTGCTTAGGCAATGTGTATCATGGAGCTGCCCTGGTTTTGAGAACTCTCCAGCAAACAAGAGGAGGATAGCCATGGTTATTTGAGTTGTGACCTCTTGTAGCTCAAGTTATTTACCCTATTCATGTCAGATATTGGCGTCTCTCTGCTCTTCTGGCCACCTGAAAAAAGACACAGGTAAAAGAGTATAGGTAAAAAGAGGCATTATTTGCGATTTAAAGATTAAATAAATATATGATTTCACAAAGGTCAGTTGGCACTCCCAGTAATCCAAATTATAGTTGATTCTTCTGTGCAGTCCAATAAAAGAGAGGTTTTTTCTGGCACTACTAGTTTTTTTATTACTTTTGTATTGTGCTTTGAAAGAAATAAAAATTTGTATTTTTTTCCCTCAAATAGATAACTGTATTGAATTGTTCATACTATCTTAATTTTCCTAAACTTCACTCCGAAATAAAGCTTAAGATGCTTTCAAGTATTGCTAATCTAGTTTGCTACCACTAACATGAGAATGCCTGATATTTTTCCATTTATAATGTAGTACACGCCAGAAGATTTTGTCGAATATGACTATGAGTATGGGGATGCAGATTATAAAGAAACTGATTCTGTAACAGAGGGACCCCCACTGTTCGAAGAGACAGTAGCACAAACAGAGGTAACAGAACCTGATCTGTTTGTTGTGTGGTGTCCAGCTGTCCCCTGCCACATGGTTTGTCCATTTGTGTCTTCTGTATATAAGCTTAATGCTTTCCTTTCACTCATTTCTTTACTCTGTAGCTGTAACACTTGCTTTCAATTAGAGATGGAAGTTCTCACGGCTGATAGCATTCAGCTCACATTTGGTTACCCTTCTTACGTTCATGCTTTCTCAGTTTTCTTTTCATTTTATTTATGTTTTCCCATTCCATCTTTCGTAACGTTTGCAGAAAAGGAAAACCATGGTCAAAAAGAAGAAGAGGACAGTGGCCGCTAGCTCAAAGGACAAACCCCAAAAGGCCACAACAAAAAAATCTGAAAAATATGCATCCAAGAAGAAGAAAAGTTATCAAGCAGCAGCAAAAGGCAAACTAGGGGTAAAGGTCGCCAAGAAATAATCAAGATCTTTCCCAGGCCAAGACTGGAAGATCTCTGATAATAAGCAAAAATATACCTAACCCCACTAGATGAGTACATCTGGCTAATACCATAACCTCAGTAAAAGTGATAACTCTTGAATTTTTCCTGCAGGATTTTTTTTTAATAATGTACCTTTCTTTAATAATAGGCAAACGTTGTTGATGGATTTGAAGAGTATAGCATAGCTGAAAATGACTATGGACCCCAGACAGAAGCTCCCTCAAGAACTACTGAAGCAAACGAGGTAATAAGGACTCTTGAGAAATGATAGGCAAAAATACTTGCCCACCAGGTGCAAATGATTTAAAAAGCACAAACACATTTTAAAAGGATGAATGTGTGTCTGTTTAAATATACATATCTATACATAACAGCAATTAATGCAATTTTATGCTTTTTCAGCCAATATCAGAACATACTATTTTCTTGGGCAGAAATCCCATTAATTCTGTAGAGATCTGCTGAATCTTTAGACTGCAGGGTTTGTGATTCTGGAAATTATTCAGTGATAAATGCTGTGGGAATGCAGGGTTATTGCATTCAGTGTGGATGTGCATGGAGCTATGTCTAGTATAAACTAGGTTAAATACTAGACATAGTTCTCCTAATCTAAGAGGAAGTGAAGTCTCTAAATTTTCGCGTAACTTTTAAGATGCAGCATAAAATGAGTCTAACACAAGGCAAAGAATGGCTACAACCATAGCAGCATATTGGAGTCAGAAGCTATCATTTCCTTTTAATAGTTCTTCAGCTAACAAAACCAAATTATTTTGCTTTTCACTGAGGTTCTATGAAACATTGTATTTTGAACTGTCAAAAAAGATAAAATTATTATTATGATTTATGTCAGAAACTACGTTTTTAGAAAGCCACAATGACAAGCCTAAACATTATTTTGCTAAGATTACTACACCTAAAGCCAGTGTTGATTAATATGCTTGCATATTAATTAATGCTAGTTTTAGAAAAATGATGGCTGATTATAAGAAATATTGTTTTCATTGTATTTTACATTTTGCTTTCAAAATGAAGATACGTTGCTTAAAAGATGTACAAAACTGCCTACTACCCTCCCCCCCAAACATTTGAAAAAACAAAAAAGGGTCCACATTTGTTTTTTGATTTTCCCTTTATGCTTCTTGGAAAGTGAAGGTGAATTAAGACATATTTTACTCATTCTACTATAAACTGATCATGTGTTAAATCTCGTGTTTACTTCTTGCAAGTTGATTGACAGAAGCACATTTAAATCATTCTGTTTCTTGGGCAATTATAGGCCAATGGTACAATAGTACAGTTGTTATGATGTAGATCCAAAGTGATAAATGCTTTCCTTAGTGAAAACAGTTCTGCATAAAGGCAGGATTTGGCTTAGAATTGGTCCAGATCTGCATTTACTCTAGCTATAAGGCATAAGTTGTAGTCCTTTAGCTAATGGAATTAGGCAACTGTTAAATCAGAATCTAGCCTTCTATTTTAATTGTGATATAGTTCAATATTGTGCTTAGATTAATGTATTTTTAATTACCCTGGATATTGATTAGCATCTTAATATATTTTTTGTGATTGTACTAGTTCATCATGTCTGACCATCTAGAATATCTGTCTCGTATTAGGAATATCTGCACTTCTATTTCTTTCAAAATTGTTCTTTCAAGAGACCTCTGTAATAGAATAAAGCAGATCTTTATTTTTTTCACAAATGGTTTTGTACATCTCAAATATATCATTCTTTTAAACTGCTTTGGTGCTTCTAAGTTGGTTGCTTGGTTTGACAGTTTATATACTTGAAGATGTAAACTTAGATTTCAGAAATGTTAAAATTAATCTGAGTTTTGCAGGTGGAATTTGCCTCAGCCAAAAAGTGTATAAATTACCATGACAGACACGAACCATAACTTTTTGAGTGATAAATAAACTGCAAAGTCATTAACAGGAGAAAAGAAATTTAAACATTTAGCTCAGCATTGGTATTTATAGACACAAAATAATAAATAAGGCTGGACTTAACTAAAGTGATGCTTGCACTTCCTTTACATTGTTATTGTAAACAGGTCTGAATTTATTCACTGCTCATTGCAGTTCATGTGTTTATTCATGAATGCTTGTAACTGTGAAACCAAGCAGGGAAATTTAGCTATATTTGGCACTAAAGTAACATTAAGTAAGCAGTACACATAGCCTACTGGATATATTGAATTCACTGTTTTTGGAAATAAAAAAAAAAAGGCGTATGAAAGCATTACTTCTTTATACAGCTTATACAAAGATCTTTTAATTACTCTGAAAGGCTGGACTTCCTTCAGACTCTAATTAAAAGACAACATGCTGTAGTTCTACTGTTCTTTCTTTTGACAAGTCATCATGGTTGATCGGCATATGCTTATATTGCTTTACTAACAAAAACTCACGTATTCCTCCTATTCCCAAATCTTTGCTACTGATATGAATAGCAAAATCCTGTTGAAGAAGTATTTGCTGAAGAATACATAACTGGAGAGGATTATGATAAAAAAAATGAGGAAACTGAATATGGAAGCAGAGGAGTAGACCTCAGTGAATCTGATCTGCTGGTAGATGGAGATTTAGGCGAATATGATTTTTATGAATATAAAGAATATGAAGAGAAACCAACTGATTCCACTAACGAGGAGTTTGGTCCAGGTGTTCCTGCAGAGACCGATATCACAGAAACGAGTGTAAGTTGATTGAAGGCATAATGCAGATTAATGTAATTAGCAATTCTTTTATAGTTATACAGTCTCAGTGCTGTACAGAGCCTGATCCAGAGCTCCTTGTACATATTAGATATATTCCCACTTCTGATAGGCTTTGGGTCAAGCTTGTTTTAGTAACCCTGTAATTTCATTTTTATTAAATGCAGGGGTTTTGTTCCTTTTGGTGAGGGATTAAGGGAGGGTTGAAGATGGGAGGGAGAGAAAAGAAAAGGTGGAATTCCAAAAATAAATGATAAAATGAACAGTTTAAAATTTTTTTCTAAACTAAAGCTAAAGCTGGAAAGAATATAAGTTCTAATGCAAGTGCAAGTACTATAATTAATATTTTTGTATGGTTACCCTAAGAAGTCGAAATTCATATAAGTGTCCAGAATCCTGTGGCTCCTGCTGCTTTCCAAGGAGAATATTAATGAGTGGGAAGGTGAAGGTCTGAACGCTTTCAGGAAAACAAGCTTAGTCAATGGTGACAGGTTTATGACCTTGCAGGAGTGATTTACAGCTCAGTAGATATAAAGAAAGATAGGATGACATGGTGGATCCTGTGAATCATGCTCTTTTTTGTGTGTTTTATAGCTCTCTCTTTCCTTCTGACTTGATCACAGGCTTGACAGCAAGGCTTTAATTTTCCTTTGGTTGTGCCAAGATCCTTGTTTACCAGTTTACAGACATATTAGAAAACATATTAGTTTTCTTTACGGTGGAAGCTGCAAAGAAAACTAATATGACTAGGATTGGAAGCAAAATTAATTTCCACTTGGATTTTTAATTGGGAAGGCCCTGAACATAGTAGGAAGGGAGAATTTTGGTTGCAGTATTTCCTCAGTCTTATCTTTATTTTCTCCTCACAAACTACAAACTTCAGTTTACAAAGGATCCAAGAAATAACAGCAAATGCTGTAAGGTTGCTTTTCTCTGCCAGCCTTGAAACCCATACTTCTGTATTTCGTTTATCACTTCTTTTTAATCCCTGTTGGAGTCATTGTATTTTTTAATGATCCTTATCTGTGCAATGTGATACAAGCTTACTTTTTTCCTTTAAGCACAGATGGGAACACTGTAGCAGAATGACACAGAAAAGGTCAGATTATCTGCAAAGCAAAGAGCCCATAAGGCACCACTTGTGCCTGAATTAAGCAAATGACTGTGTAGACTGTATCCCCTGGTATAAATTTCGACTTCAAATGCCTCACTACAAAACTGAAGGAGTCAGGAAGTGTAAATTAGAACCCAGGCTGTGACCTGTGCCAGCTTTATTACAACTTTCATTTGCTGACCCAGATACATCATATCATTTTCCTTTGACATATGGAGGTTGTCCTGATTTGGTTAAAACAAGTGAAGTTCTACCTTTGATAAAAAAGGCAAGATGAAAAGTAACTTGAAACTTTCAAAAAAGGGGCAGTGATTCTAAAGATGGAGATGCGATGTCATTTTTACAACCAATTTTCATTAATATAATGAAACATATTTACCTATACCTTTTTGCTACTTGATTTTTATGAACTACTGCATTGTTACTGGTGAGATCCGTGCCTTTATAAATCAATAGAAAACACACAAGCCATTAATCTATATCTCTGTTTTTCCTTTCCAAAATATTTCATATTGAAATAGTGTAATATCATCAACATTTTCAAATCCATACCTATTTTAGTGTAAATGTGGAATCACTCTACTAAAATAAAAATAAACATTTCAAATTTTTGTCTGATCAGAGCTAAATTTAATTTCTAGTTTGCAGTGGATTTCTTAGCAATCAAGAGAGGTACTTCTGAAGAAAACTACCTATCTCCTGGTCTGAAGAAAAAATTAGTTTCTTCTTCTTTGTTTGAAACTAGAATCTGTCTGTGTTCTGTCAGTAGCATGTGTTATTGACCTATTGTTTTAGGTACTTCTTTAATCTTAATCCTGAACCAAAACCTTCCCATAGAGCTGATCCTAAAATAATTTTGCAGTTGATGCTAATTCCTGCACCTAGGAGGCATAACTGGCTATCCATGAAATATTATTTAATGTTTGCAATGCCACTTAACACCTTTCCCATTTGTGCCATGAAGTCACAGACTCTTCTCAGACCTTTGTACATGTTGTGGATGTCTAATGAATAAAATTATGAGCTTGAAGGGTACTGTATGGGACCAAGGGATCTTTCTTTCCAGTTTGCTTTAGGTTTGCTTAACTCAGAAAGCCATGAAGAATCATTGTTAACTGCCAAGCATATGTCCATTCAAATAAGAAAAGAAACAACTTTGTGGCTTGCAGAGAAATTTTAGATTCTTAGTCTGAAGTCCTGATTCAAACCATTGGATACAAACTATTGCAGCTCATTGGAAAGCTACAAATGGACAATATCCAATAATTTGAAATGTATGTGTGCAGGTTTGACATTTTCCATTTCTCATGTATTATATATTTTTGATTGATATACTTTGAGCCTGTGATGTGTTTTTCATAGCACAGATCAATTCCAGCTTTAGCTTTGAGGTAGAAGTTGCTGCAGTTCTTTATTGTACCAGGTCCTTAGACCTTCTACTTATTTTCATTTTTGGGGCTGTTTTTACTGGCCAGGTGACTGGACATGGGGCTTATGGAGAAAAAGGCCAAAAGGGAGAACCAGCTGTGATTGAACCTGTAAGTACGGATGTGGGTGAGTTTTTCTTTAGTACTATATAATGTATGTACACTGTTGATACATCATTATCGAGCCATTTTGTTCATGATAGGATGACAGTAATGTTATTCGTGATCTCTGAAACAATCCACTGCAGTGTGGACGGTGTAAAAGTCGTAACACACAGTAAGTAGCCTGTTCAGCCTGCTCCTTTGGTTACACAAAGGACTAACCACATGTTCCTTAAAACAAGGCGATTCTAATTGCACAGAGGAAAACAGCATAGATCTGCTCTTCAGGCCATTTAGTAACTACAGCTTGGACAGACCTACAGAGATAGCTTCCAGCTTAGGCACAGGTAACACTGTAACTACAGCTTTCAACAAGGGCAAGGAAGTCCGTCTGACAAGTTAAATGCTTGTATGGTTAACCTGTGCTGGTGCAATCAAACTGCTAAAAGTTTAATTAAATACTTTCTTCGGAGATTACAGCTTGGTCATAAGCAAGATAATAGATCAGTAGCTTACAGAATTTCTCTCATCTTTTAATAGTAGTATAGTAACTAAGCAGCTTTTGGGGTAGGACAAAGTTATACTGTAGCGTCATGTGTTACAGTTAGAAACTAAAATGAAACTGAATTTAAAAGACAGCATAGATTATACAAAAATAGTAATTTTATAGTATCTAGCAGGAGTTGAATGCCAGTGTGGTTTACTCTTCTAGAATTTTCAAGATCTGCTTTCAAATATGTATTTGACCCAAACAGAAATTAAAGTTTAATCTGGTTTTTGTTTCATAGAAAAGTAGGTACAGAAATATCAAGGAAAAAAATTAACTCAAGTTGAAGCCTGCCAAAATACTATGATGTGTCATTGTTACCTAAATATTAAAGGTCTGGATTCTGTGATCCATAAGCTCCCTGTTAATTCTATATTTCTACCTCAGGATTAGCATTTGGTTACATTACTAATCACCATAGTTAAAGGACTACAATAGTGAACAACTTACAAATCAAGATTGTGACCTCTCAGCTGTGATCTGTGAAGAAGCTCAGAGTGTGTTAGCTCATAAAATACACGGCTTTTTTAAACCATTTCGAGATGCACTTAGTTTACATCCATAATCCTGAAGAGGGATCCACTGCCAGTCTCCAAAATTGTTGGACTTCACTACAGCTATCTTCAACCTTGTTTTTCCAGCCCTCCTTCCTATGGAAGGCGAAGTACATGTGAGGATCGTGTATTTGTAGGTCTTACCATGACCTGAAATCTGGACTAGCGTCTGCACTCAAAAGAAGGAACTAGGAGGTGCTATAAGACCCACAACACAGAAATTTCCAGAGCGATTCGCATCAAGTTCTTCAACAGCATTAAAAACAAAAAGAAAAAAAAATTTCTAATCAAATGGTGTGAGATATTTCCAGCCTAGAAGTCTTTCTCACTTTTAAAGCCACAGAACAATTCAGATTCCAATTCTAGTAACTGTGGAGAGATCTCCAGAAAAGTTAAGACACTAAGAAATATTAACTTTAGTAGTTTAGCTAGAAAGATGTTTTATATTTTTCTCCAATAAACAACCAATTTAGTCTCTTTTTTCATGCCTCCCTAGGGTATGCTTATTGAAGGACCACCAGGACCAAGAGGACCTGCTGTAAGTAGATTAATCACAATTTCCCTTTATTGCCATTGATTTATCCACTGTGCTTTGGTATTCATGAGTTAACACAATTAATATTGATCTTATCATGGTTCCCAAATGGTATAGTGGAATTAAAATTTTTAGAAGGGATTAAAAAATGTTCATCTCCAGTATTTTCAGTGACAGCATGATACAAGCTGAGTGCACATGAAACTCAAACTTCTGAATGTTAACTACAAATCTTTGTAAGAAAAAAGTATGCTGCCTTATAAATTGTTTTATCCAAAAATATGTTCAACATAACTTTCCAGAGAAAAAATAGTTAAAAAATGCTGTTAGCCGTCATTCAGCATAATTGTGTCATTCATTGTCCATAGGGTCTCACAGGTCCCCCAGGTCTACAAGGTCCTGTTGGTCCTCCAGGTGACCCTGGTGAAAGGGTAAGTCAAAATACAGATTATCCTGGATATTTATGGTATGTCTTGCTCTAATTGCTACAAGAGTAAGTGGGTTAGATCTTGATATGAAATATATACACATAGGTTAAGAAACTTCAGTGGAACTGAGGGTGATTTACTCAGTTGAGCAAATCAACTGAGAATCTGGACCAACATTTCCTTAGTAGTAGAAGTATGTACTGTAAATACAGGAAAAAAGTTGCGTTCCTATTTGTCTATATTTCTCTGGTTTGATGTGAATTACTTTAAAATATAATAAAGCAATAGCTACAAACATTTCATATGGATTTGAGTTTTTAACAAATCAGCATGACCTGAGCTATAACATGTAGAGATACAGAGAAGAACAAGCTCTGCAGAGTCAAAATACACACGGAAATATTGAAAGTGATGAATAATATTTAGATGATCTAGGCAGAATTTATTTGCCACATTAAATAACATACTACATGAGAAGCCTATCCAGTCGTTAATATAATTAAAATTTAAGCAATTATTTTAGTCTGATGTGTTCTCACAAGCCTTTTCTTAATGCCACAACTGACACAATTTTGAAACAGCCTAAATATATTGATTTGAGGAAAATATGCTGCAAAAAAACTTTCCGGACTTTTATCAGTGATAGTTTACTGATGAGTCTAGCATGTTCATGCTGTATTTGTGTATAGAAGATGTTGAGAAGATGCTATTCATCGCTGAATAATGAGATAGTGTTAAAATCCCAACAATGCTTTAGTCGTCAGCATCCATACTTCTTTTATATTTCTCTCCTGTAGATAAACTAAACAACATATTTTTGAAAATTAAACTTAAATTCAGAATTTTAACACATTGTAATGGAATAACTACTGATAATACTCAGTTTTTTAACTGCTTACTGAATTAGTCATCAGGAAATTCTTGACTAAACACATCATGTGCCTGTCATGGAACAGACTTCATGTTTTATGTAGAAAAGGACACGTTACACAAATAAGTAATTGTAGAAATGAGTTACCAGACTCATGAGAACAATATGAATTTCTGCAACCAGATTCTACTGTTAGATTCCGTCCTAATGAAAAGACATGTTTTACTTCAAATTTTAAACATATGAGGATAGGTTTGTTTTTTTACTTAAACAACAGTGTGTATGAATAAGGGCTCTAGCTCTTGCTATAACTATTCTGACTACTTTTCATCTTAGATGAAAAATTTAGAAAAGTAACATTCTGATAAATTTACTCAAGAAAAGCACATTGCTTAGTTTTAAAAAGCCCACATTAATACATAGAATAATTCAGAATGTTGTTTAAGCACAGAACTATAGAACAATTAGTTGAGAAATCTACCACTTTTTGTAGTTGTCTATGGTGCTTCAGCTTTTGTACTAAATAATTATATCATTCTCATCTTAATAATGGGTATAAGACAACTGAGAAATGAAGGAACATACCCTACTGGAGAGGACCATAAGTGGTCTCACTTTCATTCACTTTAGGGATGAATTTCACTCATATAAAATGGTGCGTTGGAAGAATGTGAAAACTAATCCCATCTTCAGTTTCATCTTCAGTAATCGAATCTGCATCTTCTGTTCTAATATTTCAGTTCTGATCTTCACAAGCACTCATAATCATATGGGATAAAGTCACTGCAGGTCAGAGTGAAGGTTCTTTGGGTGCTTTGCAAGTGTATTTAATTATTTCTCTGTTTTTTAAACTTAACTCAAAATTGCCTGGATATATAATAAGTTTCTTTAACAATTACAACATTTTATTCAGTATTTTACACCTGAATTAGTAATAATTCTCAATTTAAGATTTATTTATAGTGTGTGATTAGTACAGATTTATTTTTTGATGCTTCACGCTTTTTTGAAAAAAGAGACTCGGTAACAGATTACTGATCTTAAAAGAGGGAAAAAAACACCAAAATTTTTCAGATCTGCTTTCCCGTTGTTTTGTTCAGCTCCTGAGGAGCAGGAGGAACCAGTTAAGACAGTTTGATGTTTGTTGATATATCATTGTAGCCCTGCAGAGAGTTGTTCTGGTGAACGAGTACTTTGTTTGGAAGACATGCAGCAGGCGAATGAGCACTCCTGATGCAGGTTCTTCCTCCCCTTGACAGCTTTAGCTAGTAGAAATACAGCAGGCAAATTGCTGGGAGGAAAGGTGCAATTACAAATCTAACTGTTGTCACAACAGCAATATTTATCTATGCAGCATGTTGGATCAATGATCATGAGCATCATGTACACACATTGATTGGTACATTTCTTCAACTTCAGTTTACACAAAAATCTTAGCTCTTTTTAAACTATCAGGGAGAATTAGATTTCATAAAAAATAGATTTCAAGTCATAGCTACAGGACTTTTGTAGCCTTTGAAAATTAAGCCTATTCAAAGGATTTAAAGAGAATCAGCAGTGTTAGTTTTCTATATCAAATAAAGCAAGCCCTGGAACATGATAATCTCATCTCAGCCCAACTTATGAAATCATGAGCAGAGGCTCTGTAATTAGGTACTTCCTACTCCATTTTTTAATATGATTAGTAAGTAAAATAATTAAAGAGAATAGCTTTCTTCCCTATTACTGAATGTCTTCCCCAAACTCCGTTCTTTAATTACCTTACCTTACTAATAATGAATAACATTCCCAAACCGTTTGCAGAAAGAATATTAAACCTCCAAGTGCGTCATTATGAACACAAGTGTAAGCCTGTGTTTAGGTTTATCTTACATAACTATCTTTTTGTTCTCATCCCTTTTTCTCTTGTCCCTTTGTTCTCTTAGGGTCCACCTGGTCGCCCTGGTCTCCCTGGTGCTGATGGTTTAGCAGGTCCCCCAGGTACCATGTTAATGTTGCCGGTAAGTAGTATTATGATTACAGGGTAGCCAGCCTCTGAAAAGAGAAAGTGTGTTTCAAGAAATGTATAGGTGTTTTGTTTTTTTGTCTGATTTTGTCTTTAAATGAGAGATGATACAGAGTTTCTTGTATGATGTAAGCATCTGAAGTTGATCGGGTACCTTTCTTTTCTCAAAGAAAGCACATGCTTTAGCTCCTACATGGGTCCCAGATTGGATGCTACATCAATATATTACACTCACTGAAATCCTCTTTATATTGTCAACAGTAACTATTATTTGCTAGTGTATGTCCTAAACAAGCAGTTTACTGTTCCACAAAGAGAGTGTACTCCCAGCAGGCGTGTGTACTTTCAAGTCTCCCTGACATGGAGAATTTTAAGCATTCCATGCTTAAAATTGGACTTCAGTATCCTCTTTGAAGAGTCAGTGCATCCTTTGAATAGAAATATATGCACATAGCCAGCTCTGCTCCCACTGGAGTCAAAGCAAAACACCATCTGTTTTAGCAGGTGGAGGAACAAGCCCAAAGCTGTTAAACTATCTTGCAGCACTGTGGTATGAAAAGTCCTAGATGCATGGAATTCATTATTCCTAAGTGTATGTGTGTATGTGAAAGTTTTGATGAGTACTGCCATTCCTGACAATTGATAAACCAACTGTAAATGAAGGGGGAGTATTTTTGGTGAGTAAAGCAAATTAAGTAAAAAGCCTTGGAGCTGTAGTTACTGCAGTTCTGATACAGGAGGCAGGACTCCATCGGTATCAATGTGGAAATGATGATTTTGTAAAGTTTATTTTCTATTTATGAAACAATCAATGGAAGTTTATTAAAATAAGCTAACATTTTTGACCTCATGCTTGCACCATGTTCTGTTATCACAGCTGACTGTGTAACAGAAATACTTGTTTACCAGTAATTAGTTGATGGAAGAATGCCACTACTCCTCAGGGGAATTATTTCCAAATCATTCTTCCATCTGTAATTGCTGTGTCAATTTGCTCCATTAAAGATAGTAAGTGTGGACTAATACTTAACCTATCAGTAACTTTGCAAAATGTCACTAGCTTTATTTTTAGGTGTTAATGAGTCTCACCATAAGTGATTTACGAAGTCAAACCAGAAGTTGCTCAGGAAGGAACTGGCTTCAGGTCCCCTGAATTCCAGCCTAGTAGTTTAACCACCATCCAGAATTCTTTTCCACATTTATAAACCCCATTGAGAAGCCACTATCCTTTTATAACAGATGACCTGCTCACTAGCTTGAGACCCACACTGGTATAAAGGAGTAAAGAGGTGGAATTAAATCTAGCAGTGGCAGACTGTCTTGTCACCGAGATACATTCAAAACACAAAGTAACATGTGGGAGACACCTTTTGTAAGATGTGTTGCTCTTCATCATTATGTGTGGGGCTAGAATTCATCAAAATGGGTTCACCTTTTAAATGGATGCAAGACAAGGAATTTAGGCACTTTTACTTGGAAAAATATTTTGAAAATGTTGGTGATTCCACATTATGTGGATCTCTACAAACCACCTGACCTCCTTTCAGATGATAGAAGGCTAGGTTCTCATTTTAGAAGAAGTCAGGTGGTAATTGGTGGGGTAAGTTTTGCATCACTTTCCAGAAAAAACTTCTTCCATTCTAATAATATTATGACTACAGGAGAAAGACCTCAGTTACAGTGACAACTCTGAGTGTAGGCAAACTGAACAAACTGTTGTGGGCAGTGAAAGATTCATGGCCCTGATATGCAGTGTGCCTATGCCATACCTTTGGAAAGCCATGCTTCTTGTTGCAACTTGGTGTCTCTGCAACATTGAGAAGATTTTGCTAGCAGTTTCATGAGCAAAAACAGTCCAGGAGTGCAGCAATGAGTACTTAAATTTTATTCTGTCATTTCTTTTGAAATTGTCAGAAATGACACAAAACTGTTTCATTTTAGATACCAAATATTTTTCAAATTGAAGTCTCCCTTAAATTGAATTGCATTTTTCTGTGGGTAGCTACCAATGTACAGAGAATTAATTAATTCTGATACATATTTTTAATGAGGTTTTGGAGATAATTAGAGTCTATTCTGGCCTTTTTTTGAAACAGACAAGTAAGCAAAATGAAAAAAAAAATCTTATGAAATCAAGAAAATGTTTGCTCATAAGGGGTTAGATTTGCACTTCAGTTCTAAACTGTTACCAATGAATTAATATTCATGCTGGATCCAGTGGCCTCAATGTAGCAGTCTTCTGAATTTAGTGATGAACTAAAGACAGCAACTCTGTTTTTTTGAAGTGGTTTACACAGTTGCAGCGAATAACAAGTATGGTTTTAATTTGATAAATTCTGAATCTTCTTGTTTTGATACCTGCAGTTCCGCTTTGGTGGAGATGGTGAGAAGGGCCCAACAATCTCAGCTCAGGAAGCTCAAGCACAAGCTATTCTTCAGCAAGCTAGGGTGAGCACAAGGAACCTGCAAACAAAACTGCCACAACGGTACAGCTTCAAAAGATTTCCATTTTATATCACACAGGATGTGAAGTAAAGAGCTTTAAGCATCATCTCATTAAAGTAGTTATCCGTATTGACAACTGAGTCAACGATGGGGCCTATTTGCTAATGCATTATGACATTGTATTAATATAGAATTTGTATGCTGACTGGCAGCTTTTTCTTGATACCTGCTGTTTTGTTCTGTTTGTTTTCTCAGATTGCTATGAGAGGTCCACCTGGTCCAATGGGACTCACTGGAAGACCAGGTCCTGTGGTATGTAAACAAAACAGGGCACAGGTTTAAGAACACAGTAATGCAAGTCCATGGATCTCATTCTGGCCTTGCCTACACCTCTATATTTGTACTTATTTTATATGAAAAGAAACTAATATAATTAAAGCCATATTTTGTATTCTTATTCAAGGTTTTCAATGCAATGTGACTATTTAGTCAGTTTTTACTGTAGATTTTGGGGTATCTGGATGAAGCACACAGGTAGGCTTACAAAACTAGCAAATAATTTTACATAAGTAACTACATATGCCTCTACAGTCAGTCATCTCTGTAATAATATTTACAAAATATCTTGTGGTAAATATGAAATTCTACAGAAGGAGATACTAAAGCAAGAGTGTGCAGAATGACCTCGGGTCAATATATAACCATATTCTGGAAAGTTCTTAAGAGTCATTCCTATAAGCAAGTAAAAGCCATACAGACTTCTGAAAGAACTGTACTTCTTAATGTCAGTCCTGAATTTGGCTTGACTGCTAATACCAAATGATCTGCAAAATGGCCTTATGGCTGTTAAAAAAGCTTAATACTTAAACGAAGTCTATACGTGGAACACATCAGTTTTTCTGATGACATGCAGAACAATTTTTTTATCACAAACAGGTTTGCCTCTGTAATCCCTACAAATACTTTAAAAGGACGATACTCACAATGAAAGAATAACACCAAGTAGGAAGCTCAGCAAGCCAAAACCATCTGATCAATCTCACAATTGCAATTTCCTCTTTTAGGAAATGGATACTTTTCAGACTCAACAGTCCACTAAACGGTGTAATTTAGCATCTACCATCTTTCAAAAAGCTGTTATAGATCATCTATACTTTGATATAAAATAAAAAATGCTGCAGCCACGATCATAAGCTTTGTAGAAGCCTAGTGTTTTTTAAATTTCTCCCAGGTGATTGTATTTATCCTCTGATGTAGAGTGAAATTCTCTTTTACAGTTAGTATAACATCCGTATTTGAAAGATCCACTTAATTTGCAAACTGTTATTTTGTCCACTCTGATGGCACAGCTAGATTGGCAAATACAATTTTGATCTATGTCTGCTGTAATTTTTATTTATATTGTCATTATGATGATGGACATAAAGAGTAATGTTAGCAATTTTCATTAAATTAGACAAGCATCTAGCTGTGAAACACAGACAAGAATACAATTGTGCTACTGAGAAATGAAAACAAGTGATTACTGGGTAGCCAAGAGAAAAGGATGAAGCAAGTTCCTGTTGGTTTATTGTGTGAAGAAAAAGTGACTGCAGAGATAAGCCAGTCACAGCTATAGCAGCATATATAGAAGACGGCAGCAGAAGTTGCTGGAGGCCACATGGTTTTCTCCTTGTCTCAGAATGCAATAACATTTTCCTACAAAGTAGTTTCCTTCCACTCGTCCAGTTATGGAGATTTGGTCATAACTTGGATGTGGTGAGACTGCAGTATAAGAAATACGGTTCCTTTCCCTTCTTTTGCAGTAGTTCTTTAATGTGATGCTTCAGCAACGGCCCATGGCTGAACAGTAACAATCTAGTCCTCCCCTTCCAGGCTCCTCTTTTTCCCACTAATCCTCACCCTTCTTAATGTACAGTGTCTGTTAGTTTGAAAGTAGGAGAGGCAGATGGACAAACGTGAATATAGCAGCCTACTACTACCAACAGAAAATACTGGCTAGGTTATTGTCCATCTCATTGTGTATAATTATAGCAGCACAATGCAACTGAAAGGTTGACTTGGTGGCTCTCGCTGCTGTTCTCTCCAGTGACCACTTTTATTAACAAAGAAAACCCAGGGGGATATAAGATAATTACATACTGTTGAAGGAATATTTTATTTTAGGGAGCATACTCTGGATCATGTTCTTCCGTGGTCCTAGCAGCTTAACATTCTGTTCAGTGACTCTTGAAAGCTACATGATACTAAAGCTGTTGTAAGTTGTATGCTAGGTTGGCTTGGTAGTACTGTGCCTCATCTTCATATAGCATCAAAATTCTGTTCTAGATCATGCTGTTCTCCAAATTGGCCAGTCTCTTGAACCCAGTCTGCTTATCTAGGTGAAATTTACTCTTCTCGGGTAAATTTTAGCTAAATATCCCACCAGAATCTCACTTAGTCCCCAGAAACTGAAATGACTGGACTTTACTTGTATTTTAAGCAGGCCTATACAAGAGCAATTCTTTTCTAGAGTAATTCTTCCAAGGTAAATAGTTGCTACCAAGCAGAGAATTTTGCTCAAAGTCTCCTGATTGAACATGATTAGGTATGCATTACTTACAAATAGTCAGACATGTTGTATCTATTTAACAAATTAATACACTATTTCCAGCAGTGTATTTAAATCAAGAGACCTGCAGGATAACGTTCAGTCTATACAGACAAAATAACTATACAACTGCTGTAAACCAGGAATTAATTTGAAAAGACTGGTATTAAATTGACAGTGGGTTGTATGCCTTTAGCTGATGTAGAACCTGACCTCGTACTCATGCTTTTCTGTTTTAAAAGCCTTCATGAATTTCTGTATGCAAACTTCAACAAATGAATAATATTCATAGTTGTTTTGCTTCTAAGCCACCAGGAGGCTCTAGAAATCCAACTTTTTGGCAACATTTTTGGCCTACAGTTCCAGAAGCAGCTACGGATTCTCAGTCTGTCAATTGTTTGTGAGCCCAGTTTATTTTAAGAATGAAATAGTTGGATCTTTTAATATGAATTGTATTTTGTTAAATTATTAGTAGCCAATAAGATACATTTAGAAAAATATCAGTTATTAAAAGTCTTAAACATAGCACTGTCAAAGCCCCAGTCTAGCTTCAACTGAGTCTAGAGGTCACATGCTTAATTGGCATAGAATACAAAATAAACTCCTGCCTATAAGTGTCAAGTGTAATCAATTATATTAATAAAAAGCACAGTTTACATCAGGGAAACCCAAACAAACAGTCACTACTTACCAAAGCCACTGTTCTCTTCACTGCCAGTACCAGCTCAGGATCTGATTTTCATTTTGCTTAGAACTTGATTCAATACCTGCAAGGTCAGTAGGAATCTTTCCAGCCCAGGATGCTCATCACTAAGCCAAGCCGCAAGACCACTTCTTTCTTTGAATGGTCACGATGGTGAATATAGGAGGATTATCAGTTTTCCAAGGTCTGCAAGATTCATTTCATATTCAACACATACGTTTGGTCATGACCTGTTTCAGAGGTCAAAAATGCCCATAATAGTAAACTCCTGTATATTCTTTCCCGGAGCCCATATTCTAAGTGAGCATGTCGAGATTTTTTGTCCACTGTTAAGAAAATCCAAACTTACTTTGACTCGTTCTGCCCCACATTCTGTGTACAGTATCTTTCCCTGGATGAAGATGTCTTTTAGGTCTGTTTCTGAGTAAAATTTAGTCTGAAAATCTGTATCATCATTTAATGACAGTAAAGAGATGCAGTTATATAGATTTCCCACTTCTTCAGGGCCACATGCACAAAGACCTTGGCTAAAACATCACTGAAGTTCATGACAAGATTAGACAGGGTATTTTTCATTGACTGTAGTGATCTTTGGATTGAAGTCCAGGACTCTTATTTTCTGTACAATACAGAAATAGATAAAGGTAAGAAGAGGTGGCTTTCATTTCTGTTGCCTTCCCTACAGTGGATGCACTTCTGTTTCCATGACATGTTCTTACTGTGCTCATATTTAGCTCTCAAATATTAATATAGGAGAAAGAGTTACCTTTGATCGCATTCAAATCGATGGGTTTTCTCCTTGGTAATAGAGAGGTTTTTGGCCCAGTTAGACCCAGTGTCTAGACAATGATATATCAAGGTATATCTGCAGATTAAAATGGTGAATTCACACCTCCTAATGAGTAAGGGATTGTTTCGTTTTTCTCCCTGTAATTAATGTATAGAAATAGAAAGTATCATTCATTTGAAGATTTTTTTGTATATTTAAACAGTATGTTTTGCTTTTTTCATCAAGGGTGGACCTGGAGCAGCAGGTGCTAAGGGTGAAAGTGGTGAACCAGGTCCCCAGGTACAATAATATTGCCTGTTATGTTTGAGCTTGTTTATCTTTAAGAAAATACATTCACATCACTTAGAAGAAATCAATCAATGATACGTTTTCCATGTGCAATTGAAGAAAAATAGCTTTTACCCTAACTAAATGCAATAGCTTGATTGTTCATTTTGAAATATGAAAGTAGCAATCTTTCTTTATATAACAAAGCAATTATCACATGTAGAGTGTCATCACTTGAAAACCTGCTTTAATGTTGTCACTTCAGGCTCTTTTCTCTGTTAAATAATCATATGTCAGTCTGCAATTGTATGACCTTGGGCCCTGATCTTATCAGATCTCATAAGGTGAGAGAGGTTGAATTTAGCTGGTAATTAAACAGGATATTTTCAAGAAAGACATGACATACCAAGGATAAGTCTTTAGGAATCATTGTATGCTTTTCTTCTCAGCTTACTATTGTATCGGCTCCTGTGCAGTGATGTTAAAGCACACTGAAAGACATTGAAATCTTTCAGCTTAAACCTAAAAGTAATAGGGAGTTCTTAAAGAACATGATAGGAGTCTGTGGAACAAGGATTTTGCCAGATCTCAAGTGGTATCATGATTTTGCTACATTAGTAAGTGGCTGTCTCAAAACTCCACATGGATATTTGCAGAAGGAAAATAAAGCAATTAAACGAAAAAGCACTCTGAACAGCTGGTCAGTCTTCCAGTTTGCTTACTTACATTTTTAGTATTTTTTCACTTCCTACTCGGTATTTTTGGATGGCTAGTCCTTACCATTGCTATTTTCACTCAGAGAAGATGCATTTGGGTGGGGGATGAGAAAGCTTCCACAGAAACATACTCATACAAGTGAAAGTTACATGTGTTTCAAAAGTGGAATTAGGTTTTTCAGTCTGGGGTAATTTGGTCTCCTCTAGTTAAAATTGCTGTGTAAAGCTAAGACATATGTGAGCTGTTTACCAGTACAACTAATGTTTGTGTATGAGTTAACGATCTGAAATAAGCACTCTTTAGTTTTCATCAAATAATTATTATGTGACTAAAATAATTTTGGCATGAGAGGAAGAAGGGTTTTCAAACCACAAGAATGAAATCTTCAAAGCCATGAAAGAATCTAAGAAGCTTTTATGTGAAAGGACAAACTATGCCATGTATAGTGCCGTCTCATGAAAACTAGGGTTAAAACTGGTAGTGCTAAAGCAAGTTTGGATGCCCATGTTCTATTAAAACTGTTGGGAAATTGGAAACTAGAATCCATCTCCTGGGAAAAAATGCAGGTTTGTGTATAAAAAAAATCTTGATCTTGAAGTGAGATGTTTAACTAGCTTTTTTCCGACATGAATGTGATTCTCAGGATTACACTTTTTAAATTCAGGGTCCTCGCGGTGTTCAAGGTGCCCCTGGTCCAAGTGGAAAAGCTGGCAAAAGGGTAAGTAGCGTATAGATCGATCCTGCTCTGGGTAAATAGTTTCTATTTAAATATATTGAAGTATTAACTAATTCCACTGCATTTTCAAATGTTTGCCCCTCTTGGTTTTTGCAGGGACGTCCTGGAGCTGATGGTGCCAGAGGAATTCCAGGAGAACCTGGTGCAAAGGTAAATAATAATGAGACCGGAGGCTTTATTTCAGTCTTGGTATGGGCTAGAAAGATTTTATGTAGGTACCACAGTTTCCTCCAGGCCAACCCCAAATTCTTCTTTCAGCTGAAAATACTGAGGTTTCAGATAGCTGGGTCAGATGCAAGAGCGGAGATTGAATCATCCATTTAAAATATGGTAATTAATGGTAATGGCTAGTAGTCTGACCTTGAAGTAACTTGATTCTTGGGGCATGTTTCCTATCCTTCTGAGTCAGTTTCTAGTTACAGAGTATCAATAACAGTAAAGTCAGTTTTGCAACTCCAAAGTGCAGCAAGAATCAAGCAATGTAGACTTCATTTTATAAACAGCGTAATTACAGCACAGTGAAAAAGTTGTTGTGGCATCTTCTCTTGCTTTAATGCATAGAAGCAAATTTTGTGAGTTTGATCTACGTGCTCCCCTCCACGTGTTTCATTTAACAACACAAGTGTACATATAACAAACGTAGAAATTAACTTTTAGAGGGAAGGCACAATTTATTCAGAGTAATACAGAATGTAACCATCATTTATTAAAGCTGTGATTTCTTCTAGGGTGACAGAGGATTTGATGGTCTTCCTGGCCTCCCTGGTGACAAAGGTAACAGGGTAAGAAAACGTGTACATTTATACATAATAAATTGATACCGTCACAGAAATAATGCACTATTCATTAAGAATAGCACTAAGGACTGTGGGGAAAGTTAAAACAGAAAGTCAACTTTTCACACTGCAGAATAATATCTACACTGTCAGCTACTGTATTCCTCATGAAACATTTTAGTAATCAATAGACAACAATTCATGTATGTATTAATTATTTAAATATATTTTCAGAATTAAGATCACATCTTCAGCTAGCTTTTGCTGATTTTTCTTGGTTAAGGAATTTGCCTGTTGGATTTAAGTGATTGTTAATGAAAATAGTAGTAGGAAAAGGAAATTAGCATGAAGTTTCTGTATTGGGAACATGACAGATTTTAACCTGCTGAGAACCTTGCTCAAAAAATGCATATGAATATTTGAATTGCAAACTGAAATGTTCAGTGTGGCTTATTCCAATAAGTGCAGCTTAAAGAAAGACAGAGTCAAGTCAAGTAAGTTTGGAAAATTTGAAGTAATATTTAAAACAACAAATGTA